TATTTGAATTGAATTTATATCAATAATAATAAATGGTAAAGGTAAAATATGTACAATTAGATTTATAAAATTAAAAGTATCCGCATATATAATGTAAAAGTATACTAATATAAGATATAAAAGATCGCAATTTTATATATACTTATATACAATAAAAATTGAAAAATTAAATGTCTTGTACATATATCATATATGTATAGTGTTTTCTTATTGAAATCGTGTATGTGCCCTCGAGAAAGCGCGCTGTACGACGGGTGGCCTACATACAGGTGCCCGCCGTACTAATATGGCGCGTGTACATGCATGTACATACATACATATGTATATCGCGGTGTGCATTTGTACGACGCGGCAGCAAATTTTACGCCAAGAGTTTGCTCCGAATTATAGGCGACAATTTGGCTTCAAGTGTGTAAATGCCTTGCTGCATATTTGCTAGCAATTTGTCAACAACGTTTGATTAGACAAACTTTGTTGCAAATTTGTACTATTGCTGATGCCAAAACTTGTAGCAAGTATTTGTCGTTATTTGTCCGAACAGATTTGGTTATCTAGGTGATAATTAATAATAAGATTATTTAATGTCTCCCGCCCATTTGAACAAACACTTTCCGGGTATCGCGAACGTTGTAATTATTTAATAATAAGATTGTTAAATATTTTGCGCCTATTTAAACGATAGCGTTTCGGAGCTTGCGATCGTCTTTGTTAATTAAATACAAATGTAAAGTTTCCGCGCCCATTTAAACGACCACTTTCCGGATTCGCGAACGTTGTAATTAATTAATCATAAAATTGTTAAATATCTCGCGCCTATTTAAACGATCGCGTTTCGGAGCTCCCGATCGTCTTTGTCAATTAAATACAAAACTGTAAAATTTCCGCGTTCATTTAAACGACCACGTTCTAATGCTATGATTTGATCGACAATGTTATATACGTGGTACGTAGTTCTTTTTTTAAAAATGTGGACGTGGGGCGCTAGTGTACGGAGAAGAATCGTCGGTCCACCCGGCGTGGCCTCTCTCAGTCTCACGCTTCTCTCTGACTCAAGACAGTCAAGACGGAGAGCGCAGATTTTCAGAAAGAGACAGTAGACATTGCTCGATTGCAGTGCACACACCATTGACACCATGTGTAGATCGCCAAGACGTGCTCGTCGTGAAACAAGACACGAATTCGCATGAATTCGCAAGACCACAAGTCCACACGGCTCTACCGGCTCGTCAATCTCGCTATAGGTGGCTCGCGTTATCGCCCCACGTGAGCCCTGACTCCCGGAGTGGCATTACATGTCAAGCGCGCTCCCGGATGCGTGCACCTGCTTACGTGTACGGAGCCGTGGCATGTGCGCGGAGCTCGATAATCGCGATCTGACGTCGCAGACGACGCACGGAGTGACCCGCGTTCCCGTTTCACGCGAGATCCGACAGACATGACCGTCAAACTGAAGCTGAAGGACGTGAAGGACAAGCTGAGGGAGGACACCCTCGATCTCAGCTTGTGCGACTTGGAGGAAGTGCCTGTGCGAGAAATCGTGAGTCTTTACTTTGTTTTTCGTTTTTCTTTCTTTTTTTTTTTTTAATGGAACGCATATGAAAATGTACTACTTTACTCTTGCGCAGAATATTAAAATATCTTTTACATAATTTTTCTGACTTAGATTGACTGAGGGGACAAGCGTTATTTAATTCACAATATAATTAATATAATTATTATCGCGTAATGTGTCAGGAGTGCCACAGAATAGGAGTAATTTGCGGTTTAAATGTTGCTGATAAATCGCGTTATGTTTCAGGCATCTCTTAGAAAAGCCACAAATGTCAATTTATCAACCAATCTTCTGGTTTCGCTGCCGGTACGTTATTGAACTATATAACAATTTAGCGGAGCTATACAATTTTGATACAATTTAAATATTTACCTGCTACTACTGAATGTGTTGGATCTATTGCAGACCACTTTTGTCACTTTAAAACAAATTGTAAAATTGGATCTCAGTAGAAATATGTTGGTCGAACTTCCTGAAAATTTTGGCGAGATGACACAATTGAAACATCTGGATCTATATGCTAACAAGGTAAAAAAAACTTAGATAACAAAATAATCTTTTTCTTACATAGTCCTTTGACAAATTTTATATATATAGATTAGCAGACTACCTCTGAGCCTGAGCGAGTTGAAAAATCTAAGATGGTTGGACCTGAAGGAGAACCCTTTGACCGAGGCTGTTGCCAGCGTCGCGGGACCGTGCAGCAATATGCGCGAGTGTCAGGCATGCGCTCGTAATATCGTCACTTATCTGTCCAACGTTAAGCTCGTCATCGAGGAGGAGAGGCTGCGTAGATTAAATAATGTCACAGGTGCGCGTCGCACGTTGATGTATGTACACTCGTTCCAGCTGTGCGCGATATATGTTATATAACTGCTGCACTCTAGGCGACGCGGACAAGGAGGTGGCGAGTACAAAGAAGGAGGGCAAGAGGAAAAAGAGGAAGAACGCGGAGAGGGAGAAGACGAACGGTAATAAAATCGAGTCCCCGACGCGGAGCGAGGACGGTTGCTTGCAGGACAATAGCGACAGCGTAAGATTAACGGGATCGTCGTCCGACAGCGCGTCCGCGCGTAAATCGTGCGGCTCGACAGGTAAACGAACATTCGTCTCTTGACTTTTAATCCGCGAATTGAAAATCATTTTTTTATTTTGATGTATCACGTGTGATTTCATGCCGCTCGCGCATCCCCCAGGCACCAGGCTGTGCCGATCTCTCACGTGCGTGATCGTGTGGCTGTTCGTGATCAGCTCGTTGCTCACCGTCGCGCTGATGGTGCTCTCGTGGCGTTACGAGCGTCAGACGGACACGTTTCTGCAGAACGCGCAGACGTTATCGGGGCTGCCGCTGAAGAATTATCATCGCCAGACCACGGATTATTTGCAGCGTGTGATGAAGATCGCGACCGTGCAGATCAGGTCGATTATCGACGCCGCCGATGATTTCTACAGAATGCAATTCGAGAGTGGCACGAGCAAGGCGGGGAAGGAGCTGTAAAGTATCGCTTGCTCGTTTCCATTTTATTGTGGAAGATCGTGAGAGTGCGTTTGAAGAAAAATAACTGAAGCAACGCATTTCGGATTTTGTTGCACGATAAAAGGTTATTTTTATCGAATAAAGAGATATTCCTGATAGACGCGTATTTCATCTTTCGACGTGACTTTGATTCTTAACGAAAAAAAAAAATCAAATTTTAAATTCAGTCAGGAGCAGTTCCGGCAATTCGAGTATTTAAATGCGAGTAATGTGACACGCGTTCGCAGTAGCACCAAACTTCGAGTGGTGTCGGCGCTTGTAATACATATATATAATACATACAGGAGAAAAGTCCCTAGGCGGCGCTTCCGAAAAACTATTGGCCAATTCGTCGCGGAACATTCCGATTGGTCGGTCCAGCGAGAGAAGTCCAAACGCCGGTCACCGCGAGTGGCTGCAATCGATCGCTGCTCAGCGCGGTCAAGGTTGGTCAGAGTGATCAAATGGGACGCTTCGAGACCATTTCGAGACTTTCGACAAATATCGTGGATTGCTTGTCGGTTTACGTCGGTACATACGTGCGCTCGTTACACACGTATACACGCGCGCCCGTGCGACGACTCCTGGCTTTGTAGCGGCGTAAAAACAAAGGTGGCGGAAAAAGGTTAAAGGGATCGTAAATCCGTTCAATCTGCTTCGCGCGCGGATCATACCGAGGATGGAGAACAGCGGCGAGAGCGGCGACGACGGCCCTCTGGGGACGACATTCCTGGGCGGTAACACCGTTACGGCGTCCTACATCGGCGTGCAATCGGACGACATGGAAGGTAGGTTAGCGTTCCCCCCCGCGCGAGCCAACGACGCAGGAACGGTAAAGCAGCCGAGATTCATCCGAGTTTCGTCGAATATTATTATGAATCCTTATGTTTCTAATCGTCGAGTTTACATCGAGTTAGATCGGGATCTGATCCTCGAGGCGAGAGAGAGAGAAAGAGGGATACAGGCATGTGGCTTCTTGGACTGCAGCGTGTTTACATTTTAGTTTGCCCCTCGCGTTGCTACTCTGCAACGTCGTTTTGTCTTCGTCGCCAAATTTCCCATCTTCGACGAACGACTTTCGTTCGACGATCGTCTCGTCGGAGGCACGCGGAGAGCGTTGTTGGATTCCTGCTCCAAGACAGCACATGCCTGCGATCTTTGAAGTCCTTGCGTAGACTGCATTATCGAAATACGAAGATGTAGAAATGTATCAACTCTGTATTTACGAAAGGATTGATACTTGTATTTAGACGATATATTTACAGTATATTCTTTATGGTAACTCCCTTGTAAGTCGTCGCGAACCAGATTACAAGTCAAATCCCCTTGGGTAGTAAGACAATGTATAAATCTTAACAAATGCTTTTGTTATTTATTTTTTTTGTGTGTTTTTTTTTCTCTTAATAGACGATCCCGAGAACACGGATGACTCCAATCACGGCGCGGGGGATCCCTTGCAGAGCCCCGGAGTCTCCACCGGCGGTGGGCCGCTTCGCGAGCAGGATCGCTTCTTGCCGATCGCGAACGTCGCCAAGATCATGAAGAGGGCCATTCCGGACGCTGGGAAGATCGCCAAGGACGCGCGCGAGTGTGTACAGGAGTGCGTGTCAGAGTTCATCTCCTTTATCACGTCGGAAGCGAGTGACAGGTGTCACATGGAAAAGCGTAAAACTATCAATGGTGAGGACATTCTGTTTGCCATGACTACGCTCGGCTTCGACAATTACGTCGAGCCGCTGAAAGTGTACCTGCAGAAGTATCGCGAGGCGACGAAGGGCGACAATCCCACCAACACTGGGGCGGCCACCGGCAATGGGAAAACGGAGCCGCAGGGCATGTACGAGGATCAGTTGTTCGCCATCACCGCGACGGCGTCCAGCGTGACCAGTTCCGACTCTGTCATTTACAGTTACTCGTCGAACGAGCAGATGCAGTTTCAACTTTCCTGATCATTGGGAGTTAAAGTGATATTGATATAAGTATTTATCGCGTATTTGTTCTGGGACACACTGTGTGATCTGTGAGACATGGGCATGAGTACGATCGCGTTAACAGATCCAGATTCGCGTGGAAAGAAGGAACGATTTTTTGCCTAGCAATATTCGCGTAGCAAAGTATCCTTAAGTTTTTAATATTAAGGTCATAATCATTATAAGAGATTCGGTCGAGACGAGGTGTCAAGAGGTAAAAGTATACAACTTTAATCTTTGTAAAGAAGCAATTTGTAAGCGTGGGCGTTAAATAAACCAGGAGGCTTCGCGAACGAGACCCGGTCGGCGTAGTGGTTTTTTTTTTGGTGATTTTTTTCCCTTTACTTTCTCGAATACAACAAGGATAAAAAAACTTAGCCGATTCCTTTATTCTTCTATTGTTCAAGCTCTAAAACGCATTTAGACTACTTTTTTTTTTAGGACTGCGAGAACTCGCGGTTCAGGCCGCGACGGAAACTATAGGGGTCGAATAATCGGGCGTGAACCGGCAGTAAATCGGCGTTACCGTATATAGAATTTCATTCGTAGAAAATGTTTGTGGCGCGCGCGCGCGCAAATCACGTTGTCCCTTCACTCCGGTAATTGGGCAGGTGAGAGCAGGAGCTCGTGTCCCTTCGTCGCCGGCGACACGGAGCGGCTTGTGGGCGCGACCGGACGTTCCCGTTCCTGCTGCGTCGTCGGCGGCAACAGCGAGGCGGTCGATAACGTTCCCGGGCCCGGTAGCGCGTCCGCTTTCCTCGCCTTCTCCTTGTGCGAGGCGACCTGGCCGAACCGCCAGGGGCACTGGCCGCAGTGGCATAGGCAGAGGCACAACAACACGCGGAACAGGCAGCACAGTAAACCGGCGCACAGTAACGACGGGCCGACCAGCCTCAGCTGCGGGCTCTGGAAGCCCTTCTCCCCGGTGCCGACGAACGAGATGACTAAGCCGAGCGCGGTGGTCCCCAAACCGACGTAGAGCACGGTGTTGACCGCCGCGCTGACCTCGCCCCGCTGACGAAGGGCGTTACTGCTGTCATCTTCGTCCTCGTCGCTGCTCCCGTAGCAGTAGCTGGCGTCCCTTATCTGCGAAGCACACGATTCCGTAAAACATCCTTTGTAATTTCTAATTAACTATCATAAACAACATCTTTCCTCTGTTCACACACACACACACACACA